TCATACACCCCATCCTTGGAAATTGGCTTAGTGGTGCAGTATGGGCACCTGAACTTGCCCCACTTGTAGTACGCCGCCTTCCCCTTCTCCCTGATCTTGTTGGCTTCATGCTCAATGAAGGACCTGTGGTTCCACTCTTCCACCTCATCTCCAGAGTTGTACTGCACATACAAAAGATTTTCATAAATACATACTTCCCAAGTAATGTAATTAACAAACATCAGATAATTGCCATTTACTGGAATGTAATGAACAAACAAACATAATATCCCATTTACAGCTACTTAATGCACAAACAACTAAATAGTTCCATTTAGAAGAATTTAATGGACAAATAACTAAATAGTTCCTTTATATGCATTCATATATGGTTTCATGAAAAAACATCACACATATCCAATTTACAGCTAAGTAATGCACAAACATCAGATAATTGCCATTTACTGGAATGTAATGAACAAAAAACATAATATCTCATTTACAGCTACTTCATGCACAAACAACTAAATAGTTCCATTTAGAAGAATTTAATGGACAAATAACTGAATAGTTCATTTATATGCATTCGTATATGGTTTCATGAAAAAACATCACACATATCCCATTTACAGCTAAGTAATGCACAAACATCAGATAATTGCCATTTACTGGAATGTAATGAACAAATAAACATAATATCCCATTTACAGCTACTTAATGCACAAACAACTAAATAGTTCCATTTAGAAGAATTTAATGGACAAATAACTGAATAGTTCATTTATATGCATTCATATATGGTTTCATGAAAAAACATCATACATATCCCATTTACAGCTAAGTAATGCACAAACATCATAACTTTCAGAGCAATTAATTGAAAGTATAACAAAACTTTCCATTTTAGAATAATTCAATGGACAAACAACACAATATTTCCATTTATGAGCATTCAAATATGATTTCATGATCAAAGACTACAAATATGCCATTTAGAGCTAATTAATGACCAAACAACACAACTTTATGATAGAAGTGAATAAACTACATAACATTCCAATTTAGAGGCATTCATATAGGGCATCATCAACAAACAACGTCTCACACAGATTAATAAACAGACATAAAACAGCTTGTGGTTACCTCCAAGTCGTCGTCAGAATCAGACGGGTCGTCGAACCCAGCGATGTCCAGCTTCCTCTTGTTGCTAGCACCTTCCTCATTGACCTAAAATGATACTTTGACCAATAAGTAATTAATTCATTTATACTACTAACTACATAACACGGTATGCAAAGGTCAAGCAATCTGCAATGTGCTTCTAATAACCTAAAATGATACTTTGACCTAAAATTAAACTATATCAGTGACGCATTGTGGTTGACAACAAGTAATTGCATTGACTTCAACTGGGTCATCTAATGTACATAGTGGTGCATCAGCTGCCCTATTCTCTCAACCGTATATTGGATGGTATATTGTAATGCCATGAGCTTCAAGAAAGGAAATATTTGTGCAATTTTTGGTGCTAGGTGTGAAACTATTTCATATGACATACATGCATGGAGATAGGCAACATAAATTTAATATGACTTGGTCATCTGGCATAGTTGCATGTCTACCAAACCTACTTATGGTTTACTTTATAACTACAGCAATCCTACAGATCAAAAATAAACATACCTACAATTTGAGTTTATAGATAATGAAGTGAAGCTCCTAACTATTTTAAAATTGCGCACTAGTTAAACATACTGTGTTCATTTTAACAATTAATTGATACACTTCTGTCACAGAAAGTAGGATTTAAACCTCATTTCTACAATATCAACTTTAATAGATACACTGGCTAGCTGCTCAACCCCCGTCGTGGCCCATTGAGTGAATATGCACAACAAATCTAACAAAATATACAGCACAGAACATAAACTGGGCACATGCGGCAATCCAAATTCTAATATAAATTAACTAACTCTCATTATGATGTCTCTAGAATTCAATCATGAATCAACTTGACAAAACCCTAACTCTGAAATGGGGTTCACCATTCAATCAAAAAACCCTAACAAGCAGAAGGGGTGCCGCAATCAATCACAAATCTACTATAAAAAACCCCATCTACTAAATCTTCTGCTTATCTGCTACAAGTATGAAAAGAGGGGAACGAGAAGCATTACCACATCCACCACCTGCCTTCCGCTCGCCTCCGCACCTACATCCAGTGAGCCGCCAGACGCCGTCACCACCAAGTCTGCCACGACGGAGTCCGAGCCCACCACCCCCTGCGCCACCAGATCCGCCGCCGCAGGGACCGATCCAGCGACTGCGGGTGCAGCATCTCCCGCACAGCCGACGGCGGCAACTTCTTGGACGGCATCTGTGGCGGTCTCCGCGCCCTCGACCACATCTCCGTGCGCAGCGACGGCAGCCCCACGACCTTGCTCCATTGAAGCCTGAGAGAACCCGCCGGAGAGAGGGAGGCGGTGGGGTTGAGCAAGTAGGTGCGGTGGCGGGGCGATGGAGACGAGGGGGAGACGATGCGGCAAGGATAGAGGGACTGAGCCGATTTGGGGGTAAATGGTGGGGGCGATGCGGCCAGTGGTGGTTCCCCTCCCTCTTTATAGGATGTGACATTTTTGGAAGTTTTCATGTGATGCGTGGCCGCGTGGCTAGCCCACGACCGCCGCCGCCCACGCCCACGACCGCAGCACGTGACAAGGGAAAACGAATCGCCCACATACAATACATGTATACCCTCAGTGTCCAAAAATAATCGGGCCGGTGCGGGCTTGTACAGGGCTGTACGCGCGCCGGTGCGGGCTTCTACAGGGCTGTACGCGCGCTCTCCTCTGGCATAAAAAGACGATCGTGCCCCTCTTCACGAAGCATTTTTGACACATCTCAGCCGTCCTTGTGTTTCTCCCCCTCGCGTTCAACCCAGGGGGGGAGCACCGGAGCAGAAACCAAGAAAACTGGCTTGAGACCCCAAGGTTGGAACCCCATGAATAGCAGCCACCACCAGCAGGAAAGTGAAGATCATGGAAGGGGTCGCCAACACCAGAAAAACACATCCTCTCTCACTCCATACAAGCCAAAATTAGGTCACCCATGCCATCCGACATTGCCTCCGAAGAGGCCACCACCCTCTCGCCTTGGCTCGAAGGACGCCGCATCGCCGGCAGACAAAATGCTTCCACTACAGCTCGCATGAACAACGCCTAACTAGCTACCCAGGAAGAAATCAAAAAAGTCATCATCATAAACATAGCCTGCCACGACCACACCGACACCCGCAGCTCAACCACACAATAAGATGCAAGCTACAAAATCACATTGCACAATGAAACAAGCGAAGATGAGCCAGCATCATCCTAGTGATCCCACACAACACTTCTAGAAAGGGAAGGGGCGACGACACGCCACCATTGTCCACAAGGGGAACTGGGTTTTCACCGGAAGCAGCGGATGCAAATCGGTCTGGGATGGGACCTCGACGATGCCTTAGAGGAGGGAACCAGCGTAAGTCGAGGGTGGACTTGTAACTGGAGACAAGAAGAAGATTGGACTCGCTTGGAAGTTAATAGTGAGCTTGCAACTGGGACGAAAAAATGGTTGGTCCCAGTGGCAAGGTGAGGGTGGAGTTGCAATTGGGGCAAAATTAAAAAGGATGCCACAGAAAAAGGCAACGGCTATAATGGAAGACAAAAGGGCAAATGGAGAGAGAGAGGAGGAATGGCGAGAGGCAAATCAGCCGCATAATGAGGGCGATAAAAGAGGTAGCTAAGAGAGCACCCTGTCTCTTCCGCTTTTACAAAGCAGGTCAATAACAAGTGACAAAAAGCCCATGAAAATGGCTAGGAAAAACAAAACAAAGGACCAAATAAAAATAAGCCTAACAAAAACCAGCTAACAACTAGACATCACAACGACACATGACGCACGCGACAAAAACGAAGCGGGTTCAAGTTTGCGCCAGGATTACAACAAATAGATTGGACGAACAACAACTTAGCCGAGACATTGTTAAAGTCTCATCTAGATGAGATTTGGCAAATCCTATTTGATCTTTTAAAAATATTTTTGAAATGTTCATGAATTAAAAATCACAAATTCACATAAGTGTTCACAAATTAAAAATTTATGAATTTTAATGATTGTTCGCACAGTTCAGAAAATAACAATGATCAACAGTTCGAAAAACCTAGGGAGATCAGTGACGTGGGACACAGCGACAACAACGATCAACAGTTTGCACAAAATATTTCAGCACCTTGGTCGTGTGGTGGACAAGACGTTACTCCTACATTGCTACTAGCTGGAGCTGGGGCTTGTAAGAACAAGATTGCCAAAATTAACCGACTGCGCTACCCCCTCTAAGCTTACACTTAAAAATGGTCGAAAATAGAACACCATGTTTTTGTTATTTTATTCAAACTCAAACAACTCACACTTCTACAATTTCAACTCGAATGACATTACTTTCTTTGACTTCTAGATGACGATGTTTTTATGTTGTTACTGTGTTGAAGGCATTGCTCGAATATGTTCGGACTGGTTAATCAGGGTGAAAACCAAGCTAGATTCTGATCTTGTGTGGTTGAGTACGGTGCCGGAGTGGTTTGAGCGTCGCTCCTTTACTGAAGGCGTTGTTGAAGAAGAATCTTGTCACTTTTGTAGTGTCATGAGATGATTGGCGCGGATATGACCATTGTTGTAATTTGTAAATTGTGCATTTGACGCTCATGTGTTTTTTAGTGCATGCGTTGATGTTGGTTGTATGCATTCTAACTATGCAAAGGTCAATTGTGTTTTTATTGTGTTCGTATCCTATTGTGCTTCATTTTAAACCAGTGAAAAGATTGTGTGCTGCTATTTAAGAAAAAACCGTGCTTGTTCATTCATGTAAATCGACGTGACAACGTGGAGATCGACCGAGTGGATCTTCTCATTTGTAATCGAGTTACACGCACATCGGATATGAGCAAAAGGCACAAACTACACGTACCCACCATTGACCCGAATCACCTGGCCGTTAATCCACCCGGCGGCGTCAGAAAGCCGACCACCGGCGCCACGTCCGCTGGCTCGCCGATGCGCTTCATGGGGCACTCGTTGGCGACGACCCTCACGCGCTCCTCGGACTTCCCGGCGTAGAACATGGGCGTGGCGACCGGCCCCGGCGCCACGCTGTTGGCCGTGATGCCAGTTCCGGCGAGCTCCTTGGCCAGCACCTTGGTCATGGCCTCCACGGCCGCCTTCGTCGCCACGTACGCGCCATACCCTGGCCGGAGCGACGCAACGTTCGACGAAGAAAAGGTGACTATCCGCCGGCCGCCGCCTCTGACGAGCCGCCGGGCAGCCTGCCGGCAGCACAGGAACGTGCCGCGCGCATTCACTCCGAAGGCGCGATCCCACTGCTCCGGCTCGGTGTCCGCGATGGCTGGGTACGCCGCGTCCTGGAACCCGGCGGCCGCCACCACGATCTGGAGGTCGCGCCCGAACGCCGCCTGCGCCGCGTCGAACAGACGCTCCACCTGCACAGGGTCCGACACGTCGGCACACACCGCGACCGCACGTGGCCCGGAGCTGCCTGCGGCCGCGTTGAGGGATGCGACCAGCTGGTCCGCGGGTGCCGAGTCGCCGATGTAGCCGACGACGATGCGAGCGCCGAGGGATGCGAGGTGCGCGGTGACTTCGGCGCCAATGCCGCCAGCGCCACCGGTCACGATGGCCACGCGGCCGTCGAGCGGCGGCTGGTGGCCACCCGCAGCTGCCAGGAGGGAGGAGACATCTGCGTACTGCGGTGGACTGCTCATTGGATCACGGCATGCGAAGCTACTGCTGCGCCATCTCTCCGATTATAAACTCATGTGTGGGTAAGCGTGGCAGGTGCAAGTGGAACAAATTCGAAATCATGTTTTTTTTGCGGAACTTTTTTAATTAATGTTGTCGAGAGAAAATACTTAGGTGATTTATTGTAAATATGTTGTCTGCAGTAATTAATCCAGTCATATGGTTGCAGGTAATACACACACAAAATTACAATCCTATTAAACAGCTAACTTTCTTTTGCATGGTACATGTGTAGCATTTATATCAAACAACTAACCTAAGAGCTTATTTTAACACAGTACAAATGCAGACGTTTATACATGCGCACATAACTCATCCATATCAACACACGTCATACCCTTATAAACTCCATCAAGAGGCTGAGCTGGCACATCATCTTGAGATCGATAAAATCGATCACCACAAACGTCTTCATAGTCGATGGGAATTTCTCATCCCTGAACGAACATCGCCGAAAAATGGGTTGTTACACCATAATGAACCCAACTATCTGAACTGGGTTCGTTTCATAGTTCAGAATTCCACCGCACAAAGAACCTAACCTACCAACAGTCGTAAGAGCAGTTAGCCAAGCATATTTTACCCAACATCGATGACAGCATAATCTCCATAATGCACACGCTCCCACCTAACCTCAGGCATTCCTCGATCTTTGTGAATGTCTTCGGAGGTTGCGTATCATAGTTTTGCTCGCTTAAAACAACATTATAAGCCAATAAAAGCATTTTTTTTATCACGGAAAATCAAACAAGAATCTACGATAGAACACTTCTGCTTCGGTACACCCCCCTTAAACACATCAAGGGTTGAGATTCACCCATACCCCTTCGCTGCCAGGGGCACGATCGTCTTATGTAAAAAAAATTGCCCCGGCGCGTCCGCGGTGATACCCCCGCGCGCCTGTGTATACGCGGCTGCAGGACCAGCCGAGCGGCTTGGCAGTCGTGAGGGCGCGAGCCGAGCCGAGCAGTTGGCAGCCGTGAGGGCGTGTTTTTTTAAAAAAAGTCGGCGTTGACCGGTGAGGCGTACGTGTGGGCGTGGTGCGGACGGCCGTATCGTCGTGCAATAACTGCTTTGCAGTAATGGCGGCGTGCATGCAGGCATCGACTGCTCACGGCAGATCTCGTGCCGCCCGCCTGATAGCCTCGTAGTCCGCGCCCTCCACTGCCGTGCGTGCGGCGACCGGGCACCTGCCGCCCGCCTGGTAGCCTCATAGTCCGCACCGTCCACTGCCGCGCGTGAGGCGACCGGGCGCGTGCCGCCAGCCTTCCGCCTCGGGCCGGCAGTTGACGCGACCGGTCGGCTGCCGCCGCTGCGGCGACCGCCCGCACGCCACCGACGCTTCCACTGTCGCGCCTGCCGTCCTCACACCTTCCCACGCCACCGATCTCTTGCCTGCCGCGCCGCGCCTTCACACGCCGCCGCTGCCTCGCTTTCACACGCCACCGTGGTCGCGCGTGCCGCCAGCTGCCCGCCTCTCCCTCGGGGCACGCGCCACCGACGGCTCGCCCGCCCACCTCCCTCCCCCGCCGTCTATAAAAGGCCGCGCCAGCCCTCACCATGTCGTGCCATCTCCCTCGCCCCGCCCATCTCTCTTCCTCTCATCGCCCGCCCATCTCCCTCTCCTCGCCGGCAATGTCTTCCAGCAACTCCGACGAGGGCGCGTGGCCGACCGGCGTCTGGCTGCTGAGCCTCACCATCAGCGACACGGAGCTTATGGCCCGGTATGGCGTGTTGGTGCCGCCGGCAGCCAAGGTGCCGGGGCCATGGCGGATCGGGGTGAACGGCATCCTCACCATGAGACCACCGCCGACGAGGGAGCAGCTCTACACGTTCCCTAGCGGCCGGTACAACCGGAGGGCCCGACACAGGTTCTGGCGCAGGAAGAACTTCGACATAGTCCTCGGAGCATTCAGGGATGCGGCGGCCGGCCGCATCGTCGGGGTCATTACCAGCGAGGCCGGCACGTCCCGTGGTCGCCGCGGCCACGGCCCACCTCCAGCCGCCCCCACTGCCCCGGCACAGCAGGCGCCCCCTGCCCCGGCGCTGGTCGAAATCCCGCCGGCGCAGGCCACCCTCGCGCAAGACGGAGACCCCGACGACACGCAGGGGCTACTTGCGGTGCTGGCCCAGTCGGCAGAGGAGGCGGCGGCGGCGGCCATTCGTGAGGAACGAGAGCGGCTGGCGGCCATAGCGGCGGTGCAGGAGCAGCAGGCGCAAGAAGACAACTGGTGGGATTTCAGTGACGACGACGACGACGACGATGGCGGCGACGGCGGCGAAGGAGAGGCCGGCGGCATGGCGCCGGTCATCGACCTCACCAGCACCAGCAATGACGAGTAGTCTAGTTTTAGGGTTTTTTATTGAAATTTCGGTCTAAGTTATTTAAACTGCGGTCTAAGTTTTAGTGCTCGGTTATGTTTAGGGTTATGTAAAATAATTTGAATTATGAATGAACCTTGAATGGTTTATCTGGAAAAAAACCATATGTTTAATTTGATGTTAGTCATGCAACTTCAAAAAATAAACGGAAACATGAATTTCAACGCTACGAGACGATAATCGACACACAAATTGTAGAAAAATCAGTCACAACTTGTCATGCATGCAAAGCAAAAACATATTGCGTCACGTCCGGGGCGTGGTATTTTCACCTAAAAATTATAAAAAATTCTTAAAGCGATAAAAAAGTCAAAAAACTTTTGAATCCTACTGACGACCAGCAGGTCGAGGTTGGAGAGCCACACCCCGTGCTTCGGCGTCGCCTCGCTTGGCGTCACCATGCACGACTCCAGGATCTCCACTGCCATTTTCTCTCTGAGTGACGGAGTGAGGACTGAGGACCGAGCTGTTAGAGCAGGAGATGGTCTCGCTAAGGGCGTGTTTGGTTCCTTGCATAGCCCCACGCTGCATCGTATGCACCATCCTGGCTGAGTCTAGGCTGGCTAAGCTAGTGCAAAAAAGAGTTGAGATGTGTTGGAAACGAGAGTTTGGCAATGCTTCACGATGTATTGATCGGTGCATAGCGCACGTATATATAAAGTACAAGGTGGGTCACAACCTCAACTATACAATGACTAGGAGGTGGGCCGGGTTATACAATATACATGCACAAACCATATATTCAACCCCCCCCCCCCCGCGCGCGCAGTCGAAGCGTCGCCGGAGACGCAAAGACTGGACCTGAACTCCTCGAATATAGAAGTAGGCAGTCCTTTCGTCATGACGTCAGCGAAGTGCTGCGCCGTCGGGACGTGGAGGACCCGGATGCGCCCAAGAGCCACCTGCTCATGAACGAAGTGTACTTCGAGCTCAATATGCTTCGTTCGATGACGGTGGACCGGGTTGGCGAAGAGGTAGATGGCAGAGACGTTGTCACAGTAGACGAGCATGGCCTTGTGAACATCACAAAGCAACTCCTGGAGAACTGAAGGAGCCAAGAGCATTCAGCAACGGCGTTAGCCACTGCTCGATACTCAGCCTCGGCACTCGAGCGGGAGACGGTGGGCTGTCTCTTGGAGGACCAAGAGATCAGGGACGGCCCAAGGTAGACACAATACCCCGAGGTGGAGTGCCGTGTGTCCGGGCAGCCGGCCCAGTTCGCATCAGAGTAGGCGACGAGGTCGGTGGAGGCAGAGGCCGTCAGTGTAAGTCCCAGGGACTGAGTGCCGCGTATGTATCGGAGGATACGCTTCACCAGAGTCCAGTGAGAGTCGCGCGGAGCATGCATGTGAAGACAGACCTGCTGAACAGCATACTGCAATTCGGGGCGCGTCAGGGTCAGGTACTGCAAGGCGCCCACAATGGAGCGGTAGAAGGCCGCATCAGATGCGGGCGAACCATCCAAATCGGAAACCTTGACCTTGGTGTCGACGGGCGTGGGAGCGGGCTTACAGTTAAGCATGCCATCTCGATCGAGAAGCTCATGGGCGTAGTGTTGCTGATGCGGGAAGAACCCATCTGGCCGTCGAAACACCTCAATGCTAAGGAAGTAATGTAGGGGACCCAAGTCCTTCAGGGCAGACTCATCGTGAAGACGAGTAGTGAGCCGCTGGAGGAGCGCGACAGTGGATGCCGTCAGAATGATGTCATCGATGTACAACAGCAAGTAGGCCGTGTCAACTCCATGATGATACACGAAGAGGGACGCATCGGAGCGAGTCGACGTAAATCCGAGCGTCTACAGGAAGGCGGCGATGCACTGGTACCAGGCCCGAGGTGCCTGCTTCAACCCGTAAAGAGAACGGGAGAGCAAGCACACATGATCTGGATGCATGGCATCGACGAAGCCGGTGGGCTGTTCACAGAACACCTGCTCAGCGAGGTGGTCGTGCAAGAAGGCGTTCGAGACATCCAACTGATGCACAGGCCAAGCTCGGGACACGGCGAGCTGGAGCACGACGCGGATCGTGCCCGATTTAACAACCAGGGCAAATGTGTCGGTGAAGTCCACGCCCGCGCGCTGCCGAAAGCTCCGAACCACCCAACGAGCTTTATAGAGCTCGAGAGTGCCATCCGGACGAGTCTTGTGCCAAAAGACCCACTTGCCCGTGATGATGTTGGCACGGGGCGGCCGAGGGACGAGCTGCCAGGTACGATTCCGCTGGAGCGCGTCAAACTTTTCCTGCATCACAGCGAGCCAATGAGGATCCCGAAGGGCGGCTCGAGCTGACGATGGGAGAGGGGACGACTCAGAGACGGAAGCAGCGAGAAGGTACTCATAGCTAGGGCGAAAGGTGCTAGCCTGAGAGCGAATCATCGGGCAGGGCAGCGGGTCCAGGGTGGAGATGGGCGATGACGAAGAAGAGCCCTCCTCCTCCGAGGCCGCGGAGGAGGCCACCGGTGAGGCGGCGGGCGGGGTGGTGGGCGAGGCCGCCGGGGAGGCCGACGGCATGGTCGGGGCCAGGGATGCCAGGGGCGTCGTTGGCGCCGAGGGAGGTGCAGCCCCTAGGGCAGCCAACCG